ATAGCTGTGTTCTCAACGATCTTGTTCACCATTTCAACAAGCTGTGGACCCAGGTGATCGTGGTTGGCAACCTCACGCAGTAGGGACACACTGACCCCATCGGGCCCAACAGCACCAGATGTCTTCATTTCTTGCAATACCGTCCTGACGTCAAGGATGTTGAACGGTACAAACATGTCCCCCAGGTGAACGTTGGCGATGTGCTCCTCCAGGATGTCGTCCCAGTCCGGCAAGTGCTCATCCACCAGCTTGCCCTCGAGGTGTTCCTTGACTTCTTCCGTGAGGGCTGACGAGCTCTTGTTCTCCAGCATCGCACCCCACCACCCACGCCGCCTGGATTGTTCCTTCTGTAGCGCGCGATATTGAGCCCAGTCGCCGTTCAGGATGTCCGTGAGCCTTTGTTTCTTCCATTCATTTCTCTTCTCCCTCCTCTTTCTGTGCGCCTTTTTCCACAGAACAGTGGAGTTCCTCGCCTCCCTTGCTGCAGAGAAGGCTGCTTTGACCTCGGCATCATCTTTGTAGGCCTGAGTCGGACGAGGTGCAGTGTAGTCCTTAGCCAATTGAGCAAGGTCCTCCGCATCATTCAGAACACTGTCTGGGAGATCACCCCGCATCCAACGCGGACGAGAGTCGTTGCCCCACTGAAGTCGACCCTGTTTCGTTGAGAAAATGTCGGCCCATATAGTGGCATGATCTGACCCGATAAGGAAACGGCGGTCAGGCTCAATGCGAACATCACCCAGGGATAGTTGACGACACCACAGCATGTCGATTTGACGCCCTGCACGGTCTGTGTCTCTGGGAAAGTGTGTCGGCGCATTATACTGGTGCGGAACAGGCGGCACCGGTCTAAGTCCAATCCCAGCTGCCTGCTCGACCAACAGGTTGAAGTTACTGCTGCCCGTCGCGAGGATCTCAACGCCACGTCGTACATGTTCATCTGTGCTCTCAACCCAGGTGGGTGTCTCATTCACATCCACTCCGCAGATCATCGGATGATGCCTCCACGCAGTTGGGCAACTCCTATAGAACTCCGCCACCGCAGCTTGGTATTTGCCATTTGTAACCCCTGTGAGACAGTGAAGGGACCCAAGAGCAACTCTTCCCAGACCCACCAATCTCGCCAGGATCCAGATACCACGCTTGGTGCTGACCTTCGCAATGACACAGTCCAGCTTGTCCAATGCAATTCCCACTCCCACCCCCCTCCACATCTCATCATCCCTGTAGGAGATCCAATGAAAATGTTCAGAATCATCCCGCTTCCACCCACTCTTTGCTCTGGATATCTCTTGCACAAATAGAATCTCAGCATCTAAGGCGGCCACATCGAGTAAGTTTAGCCCTTGGCCACCCAAATTCCATTGCATAACTCTTCCCCAACGGTGTTTTGCACACTGCCTCGGAGAGCTTCCCATCCCAGTCTCGCGAGCCTTAGGCTGGCTAGATGTGGATGGTGTGAAACACGACCTCGGCCCGGTTCATAGCTCCCTTTCAAAGGCTGCTTTCGCAACCCCCGCCGTGCATCCAGCAACCTGACCGACTGCGTCCAAGTCAACCCAGCCACCGTGCATCGCGATCACCTCCGCATCCTTGGGGCCTCTGTGGGTTGCAGACGCGATCTTGTGGGCTCCACACCAGATCGTGCCTGCGCTCCAATCCATATCGTACGCCGACATCTGCGTGTGTTCCATGTGTACCACCCCGCCTCCTTCATCTTTGGCGTCCATGGCGAGCCCGATCGTGACACGGCGGACCATGCTGATGAGGGCAGTCCTCGTCCGCGCCGTACGTGTCTTCATGAATGACATCCAGACCGTTTTCTCCTCACCCATGTTTTTCGTGCTGGGAAAGATCAATTTGGCTTGCGAGACTGCACGAACTACCTTCCACATCCTCTCCCTCATCTGGGCAATCGTTTCTCCACTCCGCACCACAAACTTCACCATTCCAACACTACGGCGCGGCCCAAAGACAGCAATCTTGTCAACGTCAACCAAGCCCTCGAGCTCAGGCAACTTGAACACAATGTCCGCCTCGTTCTCGATCACCGCCTTGCGAGTGTCCTGAAGCCATCCGCCCATAATAAGGGTGCGTTGGTCCTCTTCCGAAAGAACATCGCCCCCTTTATTGCTGATCCCAGGCTGGTTGTCCGTGCCAGGTAGATCGGGTCCTCGAGTGCCTCCTCCTTGCCGTGCCTTGGGTGGACGAAGTTGGCGACCCTGCTTCAAGAGGTAGTCACCCCAGGGATCACCTTGTACAAGAGCCTGTGGAACGTCACCCCCATGAGCAGCAGGAGGAGGCTGATTCTTGACTTCATCCAGCTGCACCTTTAGGTTCCGAACGTCCTCAGTGAGTGCGTCGAGCTTGGGTTGCAGAGTCTCATTTTGCTTCTTAACGTCCCGGATGTCCTTCTCATTTATTTTCACTCTTCCAGAAAGCGAAGCAATTTCACCCACATGTCTCTGCTGGGTATGCTCCGCTTTATCCAGCCGACTCTCAAAGGTACGCCATGCTTCCTTCATTTCAGAGGCATGTAGTTGAAGCAGCTGCCGCAGTTCACTCCCTGTTACTGGTCGATCTTCTGCACGAACGTCACCCCCAGGCAGGGCTCGCTTGGTCGGGCTCTCGACTATCTCATCCTCACCATGGAGGTTGCGGTCGGCCCTGGTGTCAGTCCTCTTCCGTTTCTCGAGCTTGAGTCGCTGGTCTTGCACTGCCTCCTCCTGCTTGACCCGGGAGCCGTCCATCCTCTCAGGCTGTTCCTTCTTCACCTTCACCGCGTCCACGTCCATGTCCGAGTCACCCTCGGCGATCTCCGTGGGAGAACGCGAACCCACAAGGTCTGCATCTTCGGGTTCATCATCACGACCATCAACAATGAGCTGGGTGGGCGCATCATCTGGAGCCCTGGCTGACATCAGGGCAAAAGTCACTCTTTACTCCAACAACCAGGGAAGCTGTCGCCCTTGAGGCCAGTCGAAGTGGTAGGGCACGGAGCAGAACTGGCCGCCGGATTGCGAACTCGTCCCAGAGGCCAGAATGTCAAAGAGGTAGCGCCCGCGGGAGAACTGGCCGCACGAGATCACCCACGACAATTCTCGGTATGGGTCGGTCAAGCGGGGGGAAAAGGGCCAGGGGCAACCAAGAACGTTTCGGGCCAGATACTTGAGCCGTAGCCATTTTTAGGGTTTAGGGTTTCGGTTTAGGCTGGAGTTTAGGGTTCCTGTCAGGGTTCCGAACAGGGTGGAGGGGGTCTATGGGTTTTGCGGACATTAAGGCCGTTAAGGCTTAAATGAATGAAGATTCATAGAGTTTACAGGGTTGCTGCATTTAGTCGATTGGGGTGTCGGTTAGGGTTGTTGGTCGGGGAGAGACAGGTTCAGTCGCAGTGCAGTCCCCGCGCTGGCTCGAATAGCTTCACCGAATATGTCTATTAGCATGATTGTCTCTCTTCTTCAACAACCAGGCCCAAAAAAGTTCAAACTTTTTAGGATAGACCTAATATATAAAGCCAAAAAATTTAAAGTTCTCCCATTGGCTATCTAAGTTGTGTATGTGGCTAGTTGTCAAAGTCATGGTATCCTAATAATAGGTGCCGTATTATAATAAGGACCCAAAAAGGGACCATAATTTTGACAACCACCCATGTGTCTGCATGCGGTATGCATGTATTCAGACAGATCATAGATAGATAGTTGAACAGGTCGAAGGATGAATCGAACGATTGTCAGAGTCAGAGTTCGTGGAACAGACAGAGCTAGAGAGAGAGAGAGAGAGAGAGAGAGAGAGAGAGAGAGAGACGGGCAACACAATAGTAACCTACTCTGTGCGTGTGTAGGGGAGTAGCAATGCCACTGGAACAGAAACACGGCTACCTTGCAACCTGAACCCTACACGGTCAACCCCAAAACTAGATAAAACCCTGTCCGGTGCCCATCGGCCCCACAGTAGTTCCTTTTTGGGATTGCGTAATAGGATCCTAAATATAAGCCACCAAAAGGAACTACGAGTTGTGTCTAGCGTCCGAACCCTGCCCGAAATAATCTGAGGTACACGGCCCTAAACCCTACAACCCTGAACCCTAAACTTAACCAAAGGGTGTTTCGAGTCCGAGTTTAGAGAGCCTCCCACGATTCACGATGGCGGGCGAAGAGCCCGCGGTATAGGTTCTCCTCAGTTGCTTTGGGTGCCAGGCGTTTCAGGCTCCTATAGACCCAAAACCTGCCCTGAAACCTAATGTAGGGGCCTTAACAATCAGAATAGGGTTTTGGGGCCCATGATACCATAATTATAAAAAAGGAACCCCCAACATAGTTTATATAATTATTGACGCCCCTATATTCGACCTAAAACCCTAAACTCCAAACCCATAAACCCCGAACCCCCTAACCCTAAACTCCAAGTCCTAAACCCTAAGCTCCAACCCCATAAACCCCGAACCCTAAACCCTAAACTCCAAGCCCTAAACCCTAAGCTCCAACCCCATAAACCCCGAACCCTAAACCCATAAACCCTAAACCCTAAACCCCGTATCCCTGAACCCTAAAGGATCTCTGGCAGAAACCTTCTCAAGGCCCTTGCGAAACACAAGGCAACCCCTATGAAGCCAGTTCATACCGAGCGAAGGAACTCCCACACACTCCAAAGCCCTCAGACGCCCTAACATACCTATATACCTTTTAAAGGACATAGTCTAAGGAAACCTACGGAACCCTAAAAGCCTGAAAAGGTAGGTTATTTTGGGTCTAAGCAAAACCCTACAGCCTGACAAGACGTTACGGATTTCGATAAAAAGGGGTTCAAGCTTTCCGGCAAACCTTGAGGTGCCCTCAGAAACCCCTCGGACATAGGGTAACAGCCTAAACCCTAAACCATCCTAAACCCTAAACCCCAAACCCTAAACCCCAAAGCCTAAACCTTAAATCATCCTAAACCCTAAACCCCAAACCCTAAAGCCTAAACCCTGACGCCTAAACCCTAAATCTGAGGGCTCGGGCGCACCCTCGGGCAAGTTGAGCGGCGCATTCTCCACTCGCTGGAGCTGCGGCAGGGGCCCGAGATACTCATTTTAGGGTTTAGGGTTTAGGGTTTAGGGTTTTGAAGGGTTTAGGGATTTTTTTAGTGTTTAGGGCTTCAGGCTTTTATAGGGTCTAGGGATTTAGAGCTGTAGGATGGTTTAGGGGTTAGGGTTTCTATAGGGTTTAGGGTTCAGTATAGGGGTTCCTTCAAGGGTACCACAAGGGTTTACGGTCCTGGGTTTAGGGTTTAGGGTTTACGGTTTAAGGGCTACGGTAGGGGTAGTTCTCTAAACTAAGGCATCTTTTCGGGTCCTTCTTAAGAGGGTGCAGCCTTCTTCTGGGTTTCCAAAAACGGGCCCGAGTCTAGAGAACTACGCATATAGGGACCTGAATACTTAAGACTAAGGCTTCGGGACATATTATACGATGATTGTAGCTGGGACTATAAGGGAATGATGTTGCTTCTATACTAAATCCTGAGCTCGAGGGCTCATAAGCTTGAAGTCGCTGAAAAATCTTCATCCAACGCCTTCCGCCGACAGGAGAGCTTTTTGGGAGTTTCCGAAAATTGGGGGTACCTTATTTTGGGGTCCTTATATTAAGGATCCTATTATTTAGGGTACTATTTTAGGGTCCCCTATTTTCAGGAACCTCCTTTTCGAAGAGTGCCCACATTATGATAATATAGGGTCCTTGATAATTAGAAGAGGGTTTTTGGGGCCCAATATACTATAATTATATTGTAAGGAACCCCCAAAATAGCATAGGTAATTACTTATGCCTATATTATACAGATCCCTGGTTTTCCCTTCCATATCTATAAGCTTCGGGAATCGGGAACCCAGGTTTTGAGGCACTATGTCTCAGATATATGTAAGAACCGTTGACGCTAACAAAAACTCTCCGAACACACAAACACACAAACTCTAAACTCTAAGCTTAAAGCCTAACTTAAACCCTAAAGTGCCAACAGGACCTGGCTTTCCATCGTTTCCTTTTGCGGAATCCGGCCTGGCACGTCAAGGAGGACGTCTCCAAGCTTGCCTCGGTGTCTTGAAAGCTTCGGGCTTAGGGTTTAGGGTTTAGGGTTTAGAGATTTTAGGGTTTAGGGTTTGGAGATTTTAGGGGTTTAAGGATTTTAGGGTTTAGGTTTTAGGGTTTAGGAGTTTAGGGCTTAAGGTTTAGGGTTTGGGGCTTAGGGTTAATCCAACCTAGTGTTAACCGGATTCCTAACCTCTTTGCCTCAAGAAAAACAGGGTTGGGCGGGTTGGGGGGATATAATATGCAGTTGTATAAGGGGACTATATGCAAGTGAACTGGAGTGTACAGGACTTCGGGGAGGCTTGCTGGGACCCAGTGATGTCACTGATTTCACCCAAAACCCGGTGATTTCGCCTCTAAACCCTGAACCCTGAGCCCTGAAAGGTTGGGCCCTTTGGAGCTTGGGACTTGTTGCGGGACTTTGGGACTTCTCAGCTTGCGGCTTCATGCTTTCGCGGTCTGGTTTAGGGTTTAACGTAACTATGGTGCTTTCAAGGCTTTCAGGGTTTGGGTTTACCTAGACCCTGAAACACCAATGAAGGTCAGCTTCGTGGGTGAAGTCCGGGTACTCAAAAGGAATGTCTAAGGCCCGAAAGATCATCGGAATAGAGTGTAGAACACGCTCAGAGTGTAGGCGGAAGCCAAGCGGGGACGTGATTGACCTATTCGCCCGCGGCCCGATGAGCGGCGGCCCGTTCTAGTGCGGGAGAGTGACCTCCCAAGGGCTCGAATTTTGTGTTCGCAGATTCTTGCAGAGCCAGGAGCCTTGTGGCATCCATCTCCAGGCGGACCCAGCGATGCTGGAGCGAAAGCAAGCTCGCTTCGTAGGTTGCTTGCATGGTCTCCAACAACTGGCGGCTGTGCTCTGTAGCGTCTGCGAAAAGACCCAAGAGGAGCGAATTCAACGTTTCCTCCCTACCACAAAGGAGGGATTGTCAGAAAGCTTCCCCACTGCATGGCTTCTTCGTCAAGCTTCTGGGGAGGAAGAGAATTCTCACTAGATGTGATCTCTCGCTCATGTCCCTCATATTTTGAGAGAGAATTTCTTCCATTCCTACTTCGAGCATCGTCCCGAGAAGAAGAAAGGAGAGAGAGAGAGAGAGACTCCCTAAAACCCTCAACTCCAAATTCTACAGAACCGAAACGTTCGTACAAAACCTTACAGACGCCGTTTAAAGAACTCGGGTGGGTATCCGCTGTGGGTATGTATCAAAGGACTCCAAGGGTGGGATGAAGTGTAGTCCCAAGTCAGAGTCCTTATGTGCGGGATCCTTAATTCCACCTAGCTAAATCCTAAACCCCTAGACCCCCAAACCCTAAACCTCTGAACTCCTAAACTCTAAACCCCTACACCCGAAACCCACCCCGAATGTAAGACCGCTGCCAGGGCTTGTGCCAGCCATGACGTCTCCTTGGATTCTCGGCGTTCCGTTCGGCATCTTCTTAGAGGCCCCAAAATTGCCAAAGCGCTTGTAAGTAGGTTGCACGTAGAACTATAAGTACCCTAAATGGAGTTACCCCTATACCCCTACTTATACTCGACTTACTACGCCTTCTGGGCCTCCAAGTTCTGGTTGTGGGGTGGAGGACTTGGCACAGTAAGCCAAGTAGGATTCATATAAAGGCTTGAACGACTGGAATCGGGGTTCAGGGTTTGTTTGATAATGTAATCATACTCAGGATCTTGAAAGAATACCAATAAGATTCGCAATTATTATTCTGTTGTGGTATTTTTACTTCAAACCTTATGTATGACCTACTCTTTTAGTAAATCACCTGGTTCTAAATGCCAACATCTCTATGTCTGCTTAACTCCATAAGAAGCCCAACTTGAACCCAATCGCGGAAGAGCAGCAACAACTGAAATCTAGTTCCTAAGTTGCTTCCGCTTTGCTATTATTTTTTGTCCTACGGAAACAAGGCATCACTTTGGAACCCAGACAACAACTACGGCCCCTCCTCCCGTGAGCTGACATTGAACCTGGGGATCCCTGTTGGGGTAACTACTTTAGGGTTTAGGGTTTAGGGTTTAGGGTTTATGGGGAGGGCACACCCTGATACCCTACAAACCCAGAGCATGAGCCAGCACAAACAATGTATATGTATATGGTTTATATGGAACCACCGACAATGCTGGCGTCACCCCTCAACTCTAACCGCCATCACTAAACTGGCGAAAACTGCACCGAAGCTGGCAATCCCCACGAATCCTCAGCTCCAATCTTCAAACCACCCTGGAGCAACCAAAACCCTAAACCCTAAACCCTAAGCCCTAAACCTTAAACCCTAAACTCTAAACCCTAAACCACCAGGCACATCCTGGAGCCCTAGCCCGCTTTGTCGCAGCAGACTTTGAATCGTAACCCTCTACTTGGACGCTCTTCTCACGGTAAGTCGGGTTGGTTAGAGGGGGTATGGGTTTAGGGTTTAGGGTTATGGGGTCGGGGATCACTATAAACGTGATAGGCGGAATTGGAGGGCTTCCCAGTTCACAGAGCCTCCAAGTTGTTCCGCCCCGGGGAACCCTTTGACAATAGAGGTACACTTTCCCCCAGCGTTCAGCTGCAATTTCCCGATCCTCTGCACGGTCTGGGAATTTAGAATTGGCAATATCCTACTCATAGCCCTACTTATGACCGACGGACCAAATCCACTTAGCCTTCAAACAACCCACCTGAGTTTGAAACCCTCCATAACTCAGGGGTTATAAAGGGTTCAACTCTCTGGTTCTTCGGCGGAACGGGGGAATGGATACCTATGACAGCTGATAGTCCCACAAGACCCCTGATTATAGTCCCAATAACCCATCTAGGAACCCGCGGCTTGAATTTTTCTCGCTCAGGATCCTGAACCCTGCAGCCGCAAATCGGTAGCACTGTCTAACCTACTACACCCGCACATTTTTGAACCCTGGGCCTCCCACTCCTCCCCCTTCCCGCCCTGCAGACTCCTTGGCAACCCAAGCCCCCCCTAACTGCATGTCTGTAATTACAAAGCAGTGCTACTATTAACTCAAAATGATTCAAAACCTAAAACAAACTCTCAAACCCTACATCCCTAAAGTCCTAAACCTTGGACCTTACAAGTACGACATATATCAAATTCACTGGTGCGGTTAAATCTTCTATGCTGCTGACACTAGTCAGGGGATGCTTGAAACTGCGCTGCCTTCAGCTTCCGGAGCCACTTTTGGCCTTTCCGCGAAGTCTCGATCGGGACGGTGCATTCTGCTCGACCAGCCCAAGAGATGAGTAGATTCGGGGGTGAGCGTTCGACGATGCCCAATCCAAGACAGCAGAGCCTTCGGGTTTAAGGTTTAGGGGTTTAGGGTTTAGGGTTTAGGGCCCACCTCAAAGGCATCTTGATCTGCAAGGCGACGCCTGCTTGCCTGTGACGCTGCCGGTGTATGCAGCACGCTCGCCCCCATGGGCCTGGGAAAGCGCCTTGGTGGGCAAGGGGCACCGCACCTTCGGCCACAAAATCGGTGCAAGTACCTCGAGAAAGCAAAGGTGCCTAGCACCGGGACGCACGGTGAGGACTAAAAGCCCACCTTGGGCAAGGTTCGCTTGCGATTCTGCATGTCAGCGAAACCATGAAAGAATTCTGCTCTAAGTGCTACAGCGAAGTGAGAATTCTCTTGGTTTCGTTGTCGAACGGCTACACCCTAGCCCCTGCAAGCTACTGATTCCATCTTTAACTCCAAACCTCTTATAGATCCCTTTAAGAAACCCTTTGAAGGAACCTTGCAAGGAACCCTAAACCCCTAAACCCCCAAACCCTAGACCCTAAAACCCTAAACCCTAAAACCCTAAATCCTAAACCCTAAAACCCTAAAGCGCTAAAGCCCTAAACCCTAAAACCCTAAAGCGCTAAAGCCCTAAACTCTAAACCCCAAAACCCTAAAACCTAAACCCTAAAACCCTAGACCCTAAACCCTAAAACCGAAACCCTAAAACCCTAAACCCTAAAACCCAAAGCCCTAAACGTTCGACCGAGGCGCCACCGCCGCACAGGCGACGGGAGCTCGGGTCGGTTCGGCGAACTGCAACGAACTTTAGGGCACTTCAGGGGGTCTTTATAAAGGGGTTTAGGGTTTAGGGTTTAGGGTTTAGGGCACTTCAGGGTTTAGGGTTTAGGGTTTGGGGTTTAGGGTTTAGGGGGGGTCTTTATAAAGGGTTCCGGTTTTAGGGTTTAGGGTTCCTTAAAAAGGTTCAGGGGGTCTTTATAAAGGGTTCCGGTTTTAGGGTTTAGGGTTCCTTAAAAAGGTTTAGGGTTTGGGGTTCCTTTTTAGGGTTTAGGGTTCCTTTAAAGGGTTTAGGGTCCAGGGTTTAGGGTTCCTTTACATAAAGGGTTTAGGGTTTAGGGTTAGGGTTCCCTTCATAAGCCTGCCGAAACCAAGACAAACAGTTCTGTAGGGGATAAGACTATCCTCAAAAGTGCCAAGTACACTCATTCCGCTACTGAGGGGTTACTTCAAGGGTTACGGTAAGCGTATTTAGGCGTTAAGTTTAAGGGATAAGGGGTTTAGGGTTGCTATAACGGGGACTATACCAGTTTAGGAGTGTAGGTTTTCGGGTTGAGGAATCAGGTGGTCTATGATTTGAGGGTTGAGGGTTGCAAGGCTTGGGGGTTCAGTTTTGGATTTAGTAGTTTAGGATTTGGGAGTTTAGGATTTGGGGGTTTAGGGTTTAGGCACGCTCCGGACATCCGTACGCGTGAGAGACAGAGGTTCAAGGTAGTTTAGGTTTGTGGCTAAAGTTTTGGGGGGTAGGATGCAGGTTGGGAATTTACAGGCGAGGGCACAGGGTTTGTACTCACAGGCTCTTGGATATTGAAACTTACGAAACAGATTATGACTAGTGCCTAATACAGGGTTCCAATACCCATACCATACACCCTAAACTCATAGACCCCAAACCCTAAACCCCAAACCCCTAAACCCCTAAACCCTGATAAACCCTAAACTCTAAACCCCAAACCGTAAACCCTGATAAACCCTAAACCCTAAACCCTGAATCCTACACCCATCAACCCCTAAACCCCTAAACCCTAAACCCTCATAAACCCTGAACTCTAAACCCCAAACCTTAAACCCTGATAAACCCTAAACGCTAAACTCCTAACCCCTAAACCCCAAACCCTGAATCCTACCCCCATACACCCCTAAACCCTAAACCCGAAACCTTGATAAACCCTAATTCCTAAACCCCTAAACCCTAAACCCTACACCCATAAACCCCTAAGTTTAGACCCCTAAGCCCTAAACGCTAAACCCATAAACCCCTAAACCTCTAAAGCCATAAACCCCGAATCCGACATCCCAAAGCCGGGTACGCCCTTTCCTGAGGCTGTCAAGGCTGAGGGCCAGGGTTGCGGGCTCTGGCCCACGGTTTAGGGTTTAGGGTTTAGGGTTTAGGGCTCTGGGGTTTAAGGTTAGTATAGGGGGCCTTTGATAATTCGAATAGGGCTCCTTATAAGGGTTCCTTTAAAGGGTTCTATAAGGGTTTGGTATAGGGGCCTTGATAGTTAGAATGGGTTGGGGGGGCCATTATAGTATAAGTCTAATAAGGAACCTTCAAAATAGTGTTTGTAGTTATTTAAGCCTCCACGTTAGGTTTGTGGTTTGTGGTGTTCATGCACTGAAGCTTTATAGCACCTTTTCGAAACACTATACTATGTGGAGGCCTAGGGGACTTAGTGAGTCGGTTGTAAGTAGGGCCCCTTACAATACCCGCAAAGCGCGTTCAGCGTCACTACTAAGAACCCTTCTAAACCCCTATAAAAGAACTCTGATGACATCCCCCCAAACCCGAAACCCTAAACCCTGAATCCTAAGCCCCCTAAAGCCTAAAGCCTAAACCCTAAAACCGTAAGACCCTAAATCGTAAAACCCTCATAAACCCTAAACCCTAAAACCCGAAACCCTAAACCCAACACCCTGAA